AGTTTGGCTATTGTGGACATTGCTGCTATAAACATCGGGGTGCACGGACCCTTTCAGATCCCTACTTTTGTATCTTTGGGGTAAATACCCAGTAGTGGAATTGCTGGATCGTATGGTAGCTCTATTTTCAACTTTTTGAGGAACCTCCATACTGTTTTCCAGAGTGGCTGCACCAGCTTGCATTCTCATCAGGGACATTCTTAAGTAAAATCGGCCTTCTCCCCCCTTAACTCTGAGCCTGTGGAAGTCAAGAATACAGGGACGCGCGGACAGCTTGATTTGCTTTGATTTATACCAAGGCTCCTTTACACCTTACACCTGCTGCAGTGCAGTTGTCAAAACAGTGTTACTTTGAAAGTAGTTTGGACTCCACTGACTTCCGGGAAGGGTTCCTAGGATTCCGGAAGTCTCCAGACCACAATTTGAGAACCACTGGGACAGACTCTAGAAATTATGCAACAAATTGCCAACCCTTAAAAGTTAGCTATTTCTTTCTGTCTCTTGTTGTTTGTGGCTTGTGGACTTGGTAGCCGGCTAAGGTGAATGAAGCCTGGCCTTTGGGCAATTTATGGCTTTGATGAAATCCCACTAGAGTTCTTCCCTAGCTCTTGAGAGCCCAATTTTGCCTTTTCTCTCCCTTGGGATGTTACCATGAGGCTAAAAACAAGCCTTGGTTTCGTATTAACTTCATTGCTTGCCTCTGCAGGACAGGCCACCGAATCCTTGCTTTTTGGTATGATCTCGGGCTAATAAGGATATTTTTGTGATCATTTTCTCATCTTTTATATCAGTGGGTCTTAACTTTAGTTTCAGAGGCTGTTCAGTGTCCGTGGATGGGCTTTAGGTGGCTCAGAGCCCTTGAAATTTCACAAAATTTTCTGTTGTTTTGGAGGGTTGGGGAGAAGGTGGGTTGTTGGGATGATTAATAGCTTCAATCAAATTCTCAAAGAGCTTCTGTGACCTCACCCCCTGAAAAACAAACATTAATGAACGACTGCTTCAGATGGACATTTTTATGAGGTAACATCTACCCATCCATTATCCATTTCCACACGTACCTCTTTTTGGAAAGAATTCTAAAGTTCTATCCCTGGCTTGGCCCCTCTTTACTTTCCATCCCCTTGGCATTCTATAAGGTCTCTATCACTTAGCACTTGCTTACAAGTCACTTCACAGTTGTTTCTATACAGTCTCTTCTGTCCTTTCTTCCTCATTATAAAATGCAACAGAACAGGGACCATCCGTCTCGTTTCTCTTTCATTGCAAAATGCAAAGTCAGAGTCAGCATCCCTTCAGGTGCACCTTGGTTCGGGGCTGGGGCAGGGGGCTGAGGGGAGGTATTTTAGGCTAGAGAATCCACTCCGCCAAATCAGTGAGTTCCTTTTTAAACTATTGAGATGTGCAAACTCGGGATATTTATTTATACCTCAACCACAAGATGTGTTTTTCTCCCACACATTCTCCAGTCTGCTTCTTGGAATCCAAGTGCTGTCATGAAAACTGCAAGGCAGTCTGTTTAGCTCCAACAGGAGCATTTTGGGAGCAGTCTCGGTTCCGTGGGAGTAGTGTGGTGACTGCCGCTCGCTGACAAGGAGCAGAGGAGGACTCTGCAGCGTGATTCCCTGTGTATTCTAGAATAGCAGCTCCTCGGTGAGCT